GCCATGCCATGCCATGCCATGCCATGCTATGCCATGCCATGCCATCCCATCCTATCCTATCCTATCCTATCCTATCCTTCATTCCAATATTCTATTCTATTCTATTCTATTCTATTCTATTCTATTCTATTCTATTCTATTCTATTCTATTCTATTCTATTCTATTCTATTTTCTATTCTCTACTCTACTCTTCTCTACTCTACTCTACTCTACTCTACTCTACTCTACTCTACTCTACTCTACTCTATTATTTAATTCCTATTCCTATTCCTATCCTATCCTATCCTATTCTTCATTCCAATATCTATTCTATTCTATTCTATTCTATTCTATTCTATTCTATTCTATTCTATTCTATTCTATTCTATTCTATTCTATTCTATTCTATTCTATTCTACTCTACTCTACTCTACTCTACTCTACTCTACTCTACTTTATTATTTAATTCCTATTCCTCTTTCCTTTCCTTTCCTTTCCTTTCCTTTCCTTTCCTGCCCTGCCCTGCCCTGCCCTGCCCTGCCCTGCCCTACCCTACCCTATCCTATCCTATCCTATCCTATCCTATCCTATCCTATCTTTCATTCCACTCCTCCCCCCCACTCCACTCCACTCCACCTGGTAAAGAAATAAATAATTTTGAAAATGGGCGGCTCCCAGTGAGGTCGGGGGATAAGCAGTCCCATAAAATAGATGGATGTGACCGCAGCAGATGCCCGTAGAAAGCAGGGGCTGCAAAGTCCATCTGGTGCCCTTATTCTGCATAGCCCATGCTCTGCGGTGAACGAGACTCCAGCTTTCCAAATTGCATGTTGGAAAATTAATTTATAAAATGAAACACCCCACCCCCCCACAACCTACCCTTCCCTTCCCACCGGTTCTCAGCCGCCATCTGGCTTCATTTAATCAAATAGCTGTCATTGTGTGAAAGTTTCTGCACTCTCTCAATACACCCATGGTGGAGCCTCCGTCTTCGGGTTATTAAAATAAACCACGAGGAAAAGCCAGCCTTTGGCAGACCGGGAACGTCGTGTGATCCCTTTCCACTCGGTTTTTCCTAGGAAAAAAATGAAAGTTCTTCTCTCTTTCTCCTGATTGATTTGAGTGACAGAATTAGCAAAGGGAATACAATAAAGTACAAAAGGCACAGATCAGGGGTGAAATGCTCCCAGTTAGGACCGGATCACCCAATCTGGTAGCGATGGAGGCGGGTGGTTCAGAGAACTGGTAGCAAAAATCCCTTTCCCCTCCCCCACATGCCCAGCTGAATCGCACAATCATCAGAGGCTGTTTTTTTTACTTTTAAAAGCATTTTTTCTACAACCTCTTCAGCTGAAAAAATGCTTTTAAAAGTAAAAAAAAAAAGCTTCTCATGATTGTGCAGCTCAGCTGGGATCGTCAGAGGCTTTTAAAAGCATTTTTTCTACAACCTCTTTGGCTGAAGAGGTTATAGAAAAAATGTTTTTAAAAGGAAAAAAAGCCTCTGCCAATCAGGCAAATCAGCTGGGATCGTCAGAGCCTTTTAAAAGCATTTTTTCTACAACCTCTTTGAGGTTGTAGAAAAAATGATTTTAAAAGAAAAAAAAAAGTTGGCCACGCCCACTCAGTCACATTACCCCACCACCACCAAGCCACGTCCATAGAACCGGTAGTAACAGTTTTTACATTTCACCACTGGCACAGATAATAGAGAGAGGAATGAAATTATAAAAACGCTTCAATCGTCTGGGTGGAAGATGATTTAAAGCAGCAGAAAATCCTGGACTTCGTTCGGGGGGGAAAAAACCTAAACTAAATTTTACCCAACCACTTGTGTATTCTGCAACTTTGTGAATAGTCCCCATCTGTCCAGTTTTGCGTCCTAAAGAAATAAGAGAGTGAGCAATTTGACTCCAGATCCCAGCATGTGTGGTGGGTTTCAAATTTTTTTACTACCGGTTCTGTGGGTGTGGCTTGGTGGACGTAATTTGGTGGTCATGGCAGGGGAAGGATACTATAAAATCTCCATTCCCACCCCACTCCAGGGGAAGGTTACTGCAAAATCCCCATTCCCTCCCGATCAGCTGGGACTCAGGAGGCAGAGAATAGATGGAGATGGGGCCAGTTAGACTTTTTACTACCGGTTCTCTGAACTACTCAGAATTTCCGCTACCGGTTTTCCAGAACTGGTCAGAACCTGCTGAAACCCACCTCAGATATATATATTTCCTAGCCGCGATGGACATCTGCCATTTTTGACACCCTCAATTAATTGTCCAGGGAACCAGACCGAAAGGCTTGAAAAAAATAATCTGGAAACGACAAATGTTATTGTGTTCTGCTGGTGACGTTCCCTACAATCACCACCATACAAATCGGAAATATGTGTTTTCTTATTTATTTTTTCTCTCCCTCCCTCTGGCTTAATTTATCCTACTGGGAAGAAGGGAATATTTTTTTAAAAAAATCCATCAATTAATAGGATAGAAATTTTCCCTTATTGGGGAAAAAAAGACCCTCATTGTAGATGGTTTTGAAATTGGCACAGAAGGGTTCAGGTCAGAGGTGGTATTCAGCCGATTTGCACCGGTTCACACGAACCGTTGGTTGGAAATTTGACCAAGGTTGCCGAACTGGTAGCGTTGGCCGGTTGGCCACACCTCCAAACCGGTCCCTCGGTCGCCAGTCACTCGCCCCACCCGCCATGTTCATCGCCGCCATGTTCTTCACATCCCATTGCCTTGCAAGTCCAATGGGATGTGCATGTGGGAACAACATGTCAGCAACGTCAGCAGCTTTTTCCGTGACCTCCGGTACTTTTCAGTGGCCTGCGGCCAGCTGCTTTCCAGCAGCGGCGGTTGGCTGGGGGCCACCGAAAACTCCGGTCAGCTTGCCTTTCGGACTCTGGACCAGCCGTCGTGGAAGGTAAGCAGCCCGAACAAAGAGGTGGTGCTGGGGGAGGAAGCGGGGCTAGGGCCGTGGCCACTGAAGGAGGGGAAACAGGGGCAACTGGCGAAGGGAGGGCAGGCGTAGATAGGTGGAAATTCCAAAATTTTTCCAACCTTTTCCTGTGGGCGTGGCTAGGTGGGGGGGTCATGTGACTGAGAGGGTGTGGGCATGAGTGATGTCAAGTTGGCCACACCCACTCAGTCACAAGCCCCCCCCCAGCCACACCCACCGAACTGGTAGCGAAAATTTTGGAAACCCACCACTGGTTCAGGTGTCTGAAATCAGACGGTATTCAAGCCAGTTCAGACTGGTTCGGGCAAACCAGTAGCACAAATCATGGTTGGGCCTGCCCTCTATGCCGTCTTATTTAGGCACGTTTTTGAGGCCAGGCGCATATGTGGAACGCAGGCAGGTGACGAACCGGGTGTACGGCGAACCGGTAGTAACAAAATGTGAAACCCACCACTGTCTGAAATGCATCTATAGACACATCCTCCAAATCTTTGGGGGGTTAAGGAGACCAGCCACAACCCCCCCCACCCACCCAATTCAACCAATGGAAAATATTTGCTTTCCTCCCACCTTACAAAACTACAACTGTATGTATGTATGTATGTATGTATGTAAATTATATACAGATCGTCCTTGACTCACAAACACTCATTTAGTGACAGTTGAAGTTACAACAGTATTGTGGGGGGGAAAATGACATATGGCTGTTTTTTCACCCTTATGACCATTGCTGTGTCCCCATGATCATGTGACCAGAATTCAGAGGCTTTGTATTCTGACCCAGCTCCCCAAACACGAGAAATTTTCTCTAAAGTTCACTCAAAGGTTCCTTTATTAGGAGTGCCAGCAGCCCCGGCAAAAAGTTTCTCTCTCACAACAGGCTAACAAGTCTGTCTAGCAGGGTGAAGAATAATTGTCTTCCACACCTATTCATCTCCGCCCCCTCCTTTCATCCCCAGAGCTGGCGTGGGGCTTCACTAGCAGCAGTGGCTCTTCTTTTCCAAGGACCGGCCCATAGATTTCCACTGCTCTCCTCTCCTCTGCCTTCTACGCATCCGCACATCAGGCACTGGGCCCAGCTGTTCCTCCTCTTCCTCATCAGCCACCTCCAGACCTGGGGGCTGCTGACTCTCCCTCTGAGGGCTGACGGACAGCCCAGCCTCCACACCTCCCTCTCTCTCTCTCTCTCCTCTCCTCTCCTCTCCTCTCCTCTCCTCTCCTCTCCTCTCCTCTCCTCTCCTCTCCTCTCCTCTCTCTCCCTCCCTCCCTCCCTCTCTCTCTTTCTCTCTCTCTCTCTCTCTCTCTCTGCCAGCTCGATTCCCTCTTCCCCCTCGGAGCTCCCAGGTTGCCTTGATGCTGACCCTGACTCCCACACCTCCTCCTCCACTGATTCAGCTGTTGGAGAGGCCGGCGGCTGACAGGCCACAACACTTGGCAACTGGCATGTACTTATGACTGTTGCAGCCTCCCAGGGTCACCTTTTGCGACCTTCTGATGAGCAAACTCAATGGGGAAGGCCAGATTTGCTTAACAGCCATATTACTAAATTAACAACTGCAGGGATTCACTTAAGAACGGTGGCAAGAAAGGTTGTACAATGGAGCAAAACAAATGCCTCTCTTAGCAACAGAAGTTTTGGGGTCAATTGTGGTCGTAAGTCAAGGATTACCTGCATGTTTAGTCATGTTTAGTCATGTTTAGTTGCAACCATCCATTTACTCACCGTTCGAAGAATCTGGGGAACCAGATTCACTTAGCAAACATGTTACTAACATAATATATTCACTTAACAACGGCGCCAAAAAGCAAAACTCACTTAACAACTGTCTTTGGGGCGCGACTGTCATTGTAAGTTAAATGTGGTTAAATCAATAATAATAATAATAGTAGTAGCAGCAGCAGCAGCAGTAATAATAATAATAATAATAATAATAATAATAATAATAATAGTAATAGTAATAATAATAGTAATAAGGCATTGTAAAATATATGAGAAGATGGGGGGAGGGGACAGGACAAAATAAATACATTTTTAAAAAAAGGCAGCTTGCAAAAGTCCGACTGTGGTAGAATTCCTATTTATTGGAAAAAAAAAAATTCAATATATTTGCTATAAAATCTGTAACAGTAATGCAACCGGATACTTATCTTCAGATACATAACCCTGAATGTTACATACCAAATACAATACAGTAACACTGCCTTCCTCTTTATTTACACGTTTATGAAAATCGATATGCAATCCATGTTAAAGGAACTGAGAATGGAGAATCGTGACGTTAGAAAAATAATATTCTGCATAAAGCATCGTCAAAGAATCCAAGCACATTTGTGTGTGTGTGTATTTTTTTTTCCTTTTCAGGCCTCTGGCAATAAGGCAATAAGTCCCTAGTAGAGCAGATAGAACTTAATTTATAAAATACAAATAACTTTTCAAACACATTTTTTTTTTGTTTTGTTTTCAAGTTCGCTTTTGGTATATACTCGTTTCTCACTATGAAATCAGATTTTTATTTATATTTATTTATTTACGTTTTTTTTTTTTTGTCTTCTTATGAAACGGAAAGACTCTTAGGCATGAAATTTTGGAGGAAGATCTACCATATCATACACAGACATTGCTGGAGCTTCCAGTTGGCTCAAGGTGAGCTAATAATAGGTGCGTACTTTAAATAATGAGATCATTATGATTGTAGAGTTATTGGTTGGTTTGAGTTTTCATAGGAAACATTTCAGGAGCGGCTTTTTTTCCCTTTTTCGTTTTTTTTTTGGAACTGGCACACGACTACATTTTCACGAGAGGACATCACAAATGCAACTAAAACCAGGTTTGGAAGGGGATGAGCCAAACCTAATTCTCCTCCTTTAATACTTCAGCTCGCCTTTGCCACTGCGGTCCGTAACACGTTCTTCCCAGGTGGGTTCAGAATTGGATCTAACCCTGGTCAAGTTGTTTTAATCCCTTCGAAGGCACAGAATTTCCACCGTTTCTCCAGCGTGGCTCCGACACCGGAAAACTCTTGCTTAAACATACGTGGAAGCCTCATCAAAAGCATTTCTATTTCATTTGCTGAGATCTAGAGAGGAATGAAAAAGAGAAGGAAGGGGAGGGGGAGGAAGAGGAGGAGGAGAAAGAAGAAGAGGAAGAGGAAAAGGAAGAAGAGGAGGGAGAAAAAGAAGAAGACGAGGCAGAGGAGGAGGAGGAAGAGGAAAAGGAAGAAGAGGAGGAAGGAGAAGAAGAAGAGGAAGAAGGAGGAAGAGGAGGGGGAAGAAGAAGCAGAAGAAGAAGAGGAGGGGAAGGAGGAGGAAGTGAAAAAAGAAGAAGAGGAGGAAGAAGAAGGAGGAGGAGGAGAAGAGGAGGAGGAGGAAGAGGAAGAAAAGGAGGGAGGAGAAGAAGAAGAAGAGGAAGAAGGAGGAGGAGGAAGAGGAGGTGGAAGAAGAAGAGGAGGAGGAGGAGGAAGAGGAAAAAGAAGAAGAGGAGGGGGAAGAAGAAGCAGAAGAAGAAGAGGAGGGGAAGGAGGAGGAAGTGGAAAAAGAAGAAGAGGTAGAAGGAGGAGGAGGAGGAGGAGGAGGAAGAAGCAGAAGAAGAGGAGGAGGAGGAGGAAGAAGAGGAGGAGGAAGGAGAAGAAAAAGAGGAAGAAGGAGAAGAAGGAAGAGGAAGAAGAATAAGAAGAGGAGAAGGAAGCGGAAAAAGAATAGGAGGAGGAAGAAGGAGGAGGAGGAGGAGGAGAAGAGGAGGAGGAGGAGGGTAGGAAGAAAGAGGAGGAGGGTAGGAAGAAGAAGAAGGAGAAAAGGAGGAGGAGGTAAAGAAGGAGGAGGAGGAGGAGAGGAGGAGGAGAGAGATATTTCTATGATTTCTTAGTATATATATATTATTAATTTTTTTTTCTTAGTATAAAATACAAATAAAATGAAGACCATGGAAAAGCAGGAAAGCAAAGCAAATAGGGGGAATAGCATGGAGGAGAAGCGTGAGTGTCCCCAAGAGAAGGCATGGGGGAAAAAGCACCTCCAGCCTTTAGGATTCTAAAAGAGATCCAGAAGATGAGCAGATTGGATCATCTGCCACTCAATGTTGTAAGCAAGTGATGGTTACCTAGCCTTCTCTTCCACGCTTCTCTTGCACACTTGTTTTTCTGTTTGGAAAATGAAATAGTACCGTGTTTCCCCAAAAATAAGACAGGGTCTTATATTATTTTTTGCTCCAAAAGATGCATTAGGGGTTATTTTCTGGTTAGGTCTTATTTTTGGGGGAAATACAGTACTAAATGCCTCCATCTGGCTGACAGTCTTAACTGGGGCTTATTTTGGGGATAGGGTTTATTTTACAAGCATCTTGAAAAATCATGCTAGGGCTTATTTTCCAGTTGGGTCTTTTTTTTCGGGGAAATCAGAACATAAGGCTCTTGGAAAACTGGAGATCATAAAGAATCTTTTTAATCAGTATCTGAAGGAGTTGCAGTTTAACTTGTGGCCCACCTAGCTAAATATATGGAAAATTTCCAGGTTACTGATATTGATATGTCCATACTGACTGGGGAATTCTGGGAGTTGAAGTCTCCGTGCCTTAAAGTTCCGAAGGTTGAAAAGGACTGCTTTAAAGTCTCAAAAGTGCTTTTTCAAAAGGCAGCTGGACGGTTTTTCCTTTGAGGAAGAAGACGTTTCGCTTCTCATTTTAAGAAGCTTCATCAGCTGCTGGATAGGGATGGGGATGAAATCACTTAAACACGAGCCAGCCATGTGCGGTTGCAGCCAAAAAAGCTAATACAGTCCTTGGTTGTATAAACAGAGGATCAAAATCACGTGAAGTATTAGCACCGCTTGATAAAGCCTTAGTAAGGCCACAGCTGGAATACTTGCATCCAGTTTTGGTCACCACATTACAAAAAAGATGTTGAGACCTTGGAAAAAGTGCAAAGAAGAGCAACTAAGACAATCAAAGGCTTGGAGACTGAAACATATGAGGAACGGTTGCAGAATTTGGGTTTGGCTAGTCTAGAGAAAGGAAGGACTAGGGGTGACCTTATAGTAGCATTCCAGTATTTGAGGGGCTGCCACAAAGAAGAAGAGGTCAATTTATTTTCTAAAATACCAGAAGGCAAGACAAGAGACAATGGGTGGAAACTAATCAAGGAGAGGAACAACCTGGAATTAAGGAGAAACTTCCTTACAAGTGAGGACGATTACCCAGTGGAACAGCTTGCCACCAGAAGCTGTGGGTCCTCCATCACTGGAGGTTTTTAAGAAGAGACTGGACAGCTCCTTGCCTGAAACATTATAGGGTCTCCTGCTTGAGCAGGGAGCTGGACTAGAAGACCTCCAAGGTTCCTTCCAGCTCTATTATGATTGATTGATTTAGTTCCGACAGTTCCACTAGAACTGATAAAGCTTCTTGGATGAGAAGCGAAACGTCTTCACCTTCCTTCAAGAATTAAAAAACCCCAGTCTAGTTGCCTTTTGAAAAAGCACCTTTGAGACAACTATGACTTGGATGGCTGAGTATCTCCAGAGACACTGGAGATTGGAAGGGGCTGTCACGTTCTTGGAAACCAGACAGCTGCTGAAAAGTCCCATCACATTATGGATGGTAGCAGAGAGGAGAGAACAAAAAGCAGAAAATAAAACCAGGATAACAAAGAAAGATCAGGAGCGGTCAAAACTAAAGGGGCATTAAAGCGGAATGTTAATTACAGGTATTATAAAATTCAGATTTTGATCCCTTAATGAGGCCAACAGTATTCAGTTTGTCCCAGTCTTGAGAAATACATCACTTAACTATTTTCCCTTCATTTTCTAAAATGCCCGAGAAACAATTTCTGCTTGATAATGGCAGAATAGCCACAAACGCTGTCAAATGTCCATCACAGATACATGCTGATTACATGACAATTTTCCCTCCTATTTCAAGCATCATATAGAGTGAAATTTGTGTTCGCATTGATTGCCTGACAGACATCTTAAGTTTTCGTGTGTTCAGTGCTTTTCTTGGAAACTTCTAGCGAGGATGAAATGAACGATATTAACCGCATGGCCTACTGCCTACGGAATAATGGCCGCGTCTGAATTTCTCTGATTTTGTTGCCAAATACACATGTGCGAGAACGCACACATTTTCCTAAGGCATAGTGCGCAGTTGTAATGACATCAACAAGATCCCATCATCATCACATAATTATCACCCTCATTGTGTGTAACAGTTTCACAGTAACCTACAAATGAACCTAAAATCTAAATCTAAAATCCAGAGAAAATCTCCCAGAAAACCAACAATTTATATATTGGAATTAAGAGGACAGGAAAAAAAAAAAGAGAGTATTTTCAGTCAAACTTCCCTGCTCAAATTTCCAAATGTTATTCTGGTTTAGCTGTGAGCAATATAAATTGGCACCTATTTTTACTGGCATGTATTTTTAGACTTCGGTTAACTTGGCTTCAATAAACCTTAACATCTATCTAACTTCTGCTCTGTTCTTCAAACTTAGGGAAGCTTTTGAGAACTATTCACCACTGGAAATCCCACCAAGCGGGACCCAATGTTTTTACCAAGTTATAAGTAAAAGATCTCCAGATGGTGTGAGTGCTCCATCACTGGAGATTTTGTAAGAAGAGATTGGACAATCATTTGTCTCACGTGGTACAGGTTCTCCCTGTGTCAGCGTCTCACCGCTGGCATAGAGAGGAGAGAGATAAGACCTGAACTTTTGCCTGCTAAATCCCTTTGAAGCTGGGTCGTCGTGGAAATGAAGGGAGGGGGGACATTCCTGTGAAATGACGAGACAAGAAGTCAGTGGAGTGACTTGGAAGATAGCCAATGAGAAGCAGATAATTGGGGATCGGAAAGGGAGGGATTGGGGGACAAAAGGTCAGTCTTGTGTGCATCGAGTCATGATCCGGTTGCTGTGCTCAAATAAAGAGAAGATTTCCTTAAAGATTAGCAGTTTGGAAATTCATTTATTTTGAGATAGCATCGAAGTCTGACACCCTGCTTGAGGTTGGACTAGAATACCTCCAAGCTCTCTTCCAACTCTGTTATTCTATTATGATCAATCAATCAATCAGAATAAATCAGAATAGAGATGGAAGGGACCTTGGAGGTCTTCTACTCCAAACCCCCTGCCAAGCAGGAGACCCTATACAATTTCAGACAAGTGACTATCCAGTCTCTTCTTAAAGCCTCCAGTGATGGAGCACCCACAACTTCTGGAGGCAAGTAGTTCCACTGATTAATTGTTCTCACTGTTAAGAAGTTTCTCCTTAATTCCAGGTTGCTTCTTTCCTTGATTAGTTTCCATCCGTTGTTTCTTGTCTTGCCTTCAGGTGCTTTGGAAAATAAATTGACCCCCCAGCCTCTCAAATACTGGAATACCGCTATCTTGTCCTCCCTAGTCCTTGTTTTCTCTAAACTGAGCAAACCCAAATCCTGCAACTGTATGTTTTTGTCTCCTTTAATCATCTTCGTTGCTCTTCTCTGCACTTCTTCCAAAGTCTCAACGTCTTTTTTTGTAATGTGGTGACCAAAACTGGATGCTGTATTCCAGGTGTGGCCTTACTAACGCTTTATAAATAATAATAATAATAATAATAATAATAATAATAATAATAATAATAATAATATTTCAATACCGCCCTTATCCCGAAGGACTCAGGGCGGTATACAGCCTGATTAAAAGCACAAAGACAGACAGAATTTAAAAATAATTAAAATTATAAAATAATTGGCTCAATTATAAAACCCCCAAATTTAAAATCCCACATTTAAAACCAATTAAAAGCAGTAGTAATACTTCACGTGATTTTGATTCTATGCCTCTGTTTATACAAACAGATCTGATGCCTAGATTTCAATACAGTAAAGAATGAATAGTTGTAAAGTGGCAGAAAGGATCAGATATGGAGGACACCCAATGAATCTTCTTAATCACATTTAGGGTTATTTGTCTCTGGGATTTGTTTTTTAACCTCAGTAAAAAGCAGGAATGAGGATCTAAAGCCATTCTATTTGCATTTTATGAAAAAAGATGAGGACTGGAGAATCTACTGCCTACCTCATCTCATTTTTCTTAATTTCAAAACCCCCCCAAAGTTTTAAATCCAACTTACCCGAGAGTCCAGCTGCTGCATATACGACCAGAGATATTCAATATTAGCTCCGAAAGGATGAACGTGAAGGAATGTTGATATGATACCTGTATTAAAATGAATTTTTTAAAAAAACACTGATAATTGATTCAGGCCATACAGAGTAGGATAAAATAATTATTGTACATAAATGCATCTGAATTTCATTCAAAAGTCAGCACTTGTGTCTCTGAAGCAATTCAGCAAGTAGATGAATTTCAACCCAAACCCTTAGCTTTCAAGAATTAAGAGTTCATATCCAAGTGTTCAAAAAAATAGAAGAAAATATTATTATTTCCAAGTGATCAAAAAAAAAAAAAAGAAGAAAATAAATGAAAGACATGCTGGAAACATTTTTGCAGCTTCGCATGTTATGCCTGATTTGCCCATCAAAATTTGTAGACATTTGAATAATAAAATTCTTGCTTTTTTTGTTTGTTTGTTTTTACTTCTTTGGTGGCTCTGGTTAGGAACATGTGTTGGCTATCAGCCCGGTCCAGCATTAGCCTGACTTGAATTTTTAAAAAAATAATTTCAGCATGGGTCACATCCAGATGCAGATTAGCGAGCAAATTAAACCACGTTTTTTTCCATTTATATTTTTTCTCATTTTGAAAACTTTTTGCAAATCTCGTGCAACGAACAGAAGCTAGCACAGACGGATCAATGAATTTTTAAAAATAGTTTTCTTCTCTATAAATTAACTTTGTCTCTGCTAGCAGCAAGGGTCTACAAAAATCTAGCTTGATCATATGATTATCCGCAGAGAAAATTAGTCAACGGATGGCTACAGAGAACGTATACAGGTAGTTCTCAACTTACGACTGCTCCTTTAGTAACCATTTGAAGCATGATTCAAGTATCAAAAATAAAAACATCAAAGGAAAGGTTCCCTCTTAACAATTCATTGGTGTGTAAATAATAGCCATGAATTCTCAACCAGCGTGTCTATATTTTAGGCAGATGTATTAAATCCAGATTCAAAATGGGCCACTTTTTTTTTTTGAGAGCATGCATGACTTTCCAAAAAGAATTATATTTGGCAGCTACAAATAAGCTACAGATAATTAAGGCCTGTCAATTAATGAAAGCTATGGTTGCATGACATGCTACTGAAGAAAGCCAGGATCAGTTGCACGATCCTGCAACCTTTGAGCACCTCTGCCCTTGAGGTGCTTCAACCAAGTTTTTTGACTCCTTTGAATCCATCATAGCTGCCACCTGAAACCCTAGAGCAGTGATGGCTAACCTTTTTGCCATCGTGTGCCAAAAGCGGGGTGAGTGCGGGGGGGGGTCGTGCGCGCACGTGCCCACACCCATAATTCTATGTGCTCCGGCTCCCCCACGCATGCACGCAATCCCCCTGCGTTCCCCCCTCTTTTGGCCACATGATGGCATGGTGGGCCCAGTAGGTCTGTTTTTCGCCTTCTCCAGGCTCCAGAGACTTTCTAGGAGCCTGGGGAGGGTGAAAACAGCCTTCCCCCACCCCCTAGTGCCCCCCCGTAGGCCAGAAATGGCCAATTTGCTGATTTCCAGTAGGAGTGGAGGGCCCGTTTTTTACTCTCCTCAGGCTCCAGAGCCTTTCTAGGAGCCTAGGGAGAGCAAAAAACGGGCCTTCCCCCGCCACCCCAGGCCCTCCGGAGGCCGGAAACAGTCTGTTTCCCTACTTCCGGTGTGCCCAGGGAGCTGAGCTTGCGTGCCCACCAATATGGCTCCATGTGCCACCTAAACAAACCCCAAAAGAATGCTTTGGTAGGTGGATCTGAAAATCCTGAATGAAACCCGAAGTTCGTGAGATCATCATGTTCTTTTAACAACCCCATAATCCCTTGCGGGGGGTGGAGTCTGGGCAACTGAATGGAGCTGAGCGATTACTGGCCGGATGCCCTTCTTGTCGCCAATGCGGAGTTTTGTTCACCAGATACCTTCTCATTGTGCTCATCAGCCTCTAATCTAGGATTGAACTCACAGCCTCCTAATTGTGAGGCGAGAGCCCCAACTCTAGGCCACCGCACCCACTCCACGAAGTTCATGAGATGTTTCCACCAAATCATTAAGACCCAATTAGAGTTCTTGCCATAAAGGGCTACATTTCATGGATTTGTGAAAAATGTTTAGCTTCAAAGAAACGTTTTTATTTCTTAATGTAGCCAATTTATCCAAATATAGGGGGGGTTTCACCTCTTTCCTGGGGTCTCTCACCCACTGAAACGTAGAAGGGCTGATTCTTCTCCTCGAAGGCACGAGCAAGGTTATGCTTGGAAAAAGGAGCACGGGGAATTATCTTACCTATCAACAAAGCCTCTTTCTCTGATTTTAGTGGCTGGCTTCGCTTCTCTGCATTCTTTTCTCTGTCTTGGTTGACCAACGGTGCTGTCAACCCATTGATTTCCTATAAGGTTGAAAAAACAAAATTAAATAAAACATTCCTTCTGTGGAATACATCCATGTCAATAGGCACTACTGGCATTCTTCCTCTCTCTCTCTCTATATATATATAAAAAAGGACATTACTTTAATTTCCAGCTACAGGCAAGACAATTATAAATTATTGATCTGTTTTCTAACGCTCGGTAATTCCCGACGGGATCTAAGGAAGAAAAAATAAACAAGTTTTTTGTTTCTCTCTCTCTCTCTCTCTCTCTCCATCTCTTAATTGCCTATAGCCGAAAAAAGGTCCAGATTGAGCAATAAAGAAGAATAAATTTTTTTTAAAAAATCATCTGCCCTTTGTCGAATAAAATTGACTTCCCCTCTGGATTATTCCAATCTCGAGATAAGTATTAGGATAAACTAATGGATAACAGCATGTCCAATTTTTTTTTTCTTATTCACAGTTCTTGCAGTAAGAGGCGGAAAAAAATACAGAAAGCTGTGACTATTTTACAATCTCGGGGTGAAAATAACCTATTTTCCACGGAATGACACAACTTTGGTAAGAAGAAATGACTTCTTTCCAAAAACAGCACAATAACAATTTCCCCTGCACTTACAGGTAGTCCTCAGACTTACAACAGTTCATTTAGTGACTGTTTGAAGTTACAGGGCACTGAAGAAAGTGACTTATGACCGTTTTCCACACTTACGACTGTTATAGTTTCCCTACGGTCATGTGATCGGATGGTTGGCAACGGACTCATACGTATGACTGTTGCTGTGTCCCAAAGTCACGTGATCCCCTTTTCTGAGCTTCTGACCAACAAAATCTATGGGGAAGCCGTAGATTGTTTTTCCTTGAAGACATTTTGCTCCTCTTCCAAGGAGGAAGCTTCCGAACTGTTCTCTAGAACTGAAGAAGCTTCTTGGATGACAAGTGAAAGCTCTTCAAGGAGGAACCAAGAAAATCCAGTTGCCTTTTTAAAAAAAAAACACCTTTGGGAAATCCTGAATAAATGGCTGTCCACTCTTTTCTCACACCCACTACTCCAGGTGGCAAGCTGCTCCACTGTTTCATTGTTTTCACTGTCGGGTAGTTTCTTCTTAGTAAAACTTGCTCAAATTTAACCTTGGCTTGTTTGTTTCTTCGCGTTTGCGTTTGTTGAAGGAAGGCAGCACGTTCGGTTAATTTATGGTTCAATATAAGCTATCTAGAATAAAACTCAATTTCCACCTGAACTCGTAAAACCCGGTACTCAATTTAAGCTGTGTTGTGGGGGCGTCGCTGATCAGTGCCAATGAACTCAATGGGGTATGATATTGTGGTTCTCCTAAGCTGCGCTGAGAAACCAGCTTTCCTGGGAGAAGCACCTTAAAGTTTATCGAGCAAGTATAGAAAATATTAAGTGTCTGTTGTGGATTTAGATTTCATGGAGACGATCACAACGCCTCTGGCATTCTGAAAGAACATAAGGTCAAGCCACATCATTGTTTCGGAAATAAAAAATAATAGATCACTGAGGACTAGAAACTTATAAATGTCAAGAAAAGACAGAGGAGGAGGATTTGAAATTGGATGGACACGAGACTCCTCCATAATTGCTGGTTCATCTGAAGGGCTCCTAAAAAGGTTTACACGGACATCCCCAAGCAGCAAATTTGATTCATATTGGATAATTCCAAGGGTGAAATCCAGCAGGTTCTGACAGGTTCTAGAGAACCGGTAGCGGAAATTTTGAGCATTTCGGAGAACCGGTAGAGGAAATTTTGAGCAGTTTGAAAAACCAGCAAATACCACCTTTGGCTGGCCCCAGGAGGGGGGTGGGAATGGAGATTTTGCAATATCCTTCCCCCAGGAATGGGAAGGGAATGGGCATTTTGCAGTATCCTTCCCCTGCCACGCCCACCAAGCCACACCCACAGAACCAGTAGTAAAAAAAATTGGATTTCACCACTGGATAATTCATTATCCAGATAATAAAGTTGTCCATCTCTGGAGGTCATCTATGGTTGCCCCAAAGGTGCTTTTTCAAGGGGACTTTCTGGGTTTTGTTTGAAGATGTCAGAAGGTCACAAAAGAGGATCATGTGACCCCGGGACACTGCAACTGTCATTAAATAGGAACCAGTTGTCAAGCATCCAAATGTAAATCCTATGACCGTGGGGATGCTGCAATGATCATAAGAGTGTGACTGTCATAAGTCACTTTTTTCAGTGCCTTGTAACTTTGAATGATCACTAAATGAACTGTTGCAAGTCGAGAACTACCGTATTTTTTGGAGTATAAGACGCACCGGAGTATAAGATGCACTTACCTTTTTTGGTGAGGAAAAGAAGAAAAAGAAATCTCCCTCTGCCTCTGAGCAATTTTGCCTCATTGCAACAAACAGCAAACAGCCTGCTTTACTTTCAGTTTCGTTTTCAGCATAGCTTGATTAGCACAAGGAAAAAAAAAAATCTGCTCCAGCAATTTACCTCCTTGCAGCAAGCAGCAGAGCCCTGCTAGCAAAACAGCTGAGAGCAAATCAGCTGAGAGTCGGGAGGCCGATCCAATCAACTTGTGCTAATTAGGCCATGCTGAAGCTGAAAAGAGCTGTTTTTTCTTGCTGTTTGCGTGCAAGGAGGTAACTGCTGGGAAGCAGAGGCCAAAGGGTGGGGGCCAATGGGTGGGCGGGGCTACATTCGGTGTATAAGACGCACCTAAATTTTCACCCCCTTTTAGTGGGGGGAAAAGGTGCGTTTTATACTCTGAAAAATACGGTAATTCTCCATGTGCAACCTTACAACTCGCCTCTCACAATTGCATTTTTGTTCTGCTGGATGTAAAACAGGACTTTATCTTACCTAGCCTTGAATCAATAATTCTCTAATTATTATGAGCTATAACAATCTGACACTGGGGTAAATATTTACTCCTGGGGTTGCTGAATGAGAGAGAGAAAGAGAGAGAAAGAAAGAGAGAAAGAAAGAAAGAAAGAAAGAAAGAAAGAAAGAAAGAAAGAGAGGGAGAGGAAGGGAGGGAGAGAGAGAGAGAAAGAGAGGGAGGGAGAGGGAGGGGGAGAGGGAGGGAGAGAGATTTGCATCTGGAATCTCAAATATAATATGTTGGACCAGGCGAGGTAAAAAAACAAACAAACCCTAGCAAATACATTTGCAAATGTTATGACTGGTAAATATTCAACTCGGCTAGCCTTTTGTGATTTAATGCACTGCCTGAAAAAAGCCAATCTGGGCAGCTTGTATTTAATTCAAATTTCGCTCACAGGGTCACAGGTCAAAATTCTGTACGAAACATCAAACAACAAAACATGTGTTACAATTCAGATATTAAATGGGGAAACGGTGTCGCTAATTGGCTTCTAACATGAAAGCCCCCTGTTAGATTTTAATTATACCTAAAATTTCCATACAGCAATCATGACGGAACAGTATTTTTGCTGTTTTCTGAGGTTCCCTATAGAAAAAAAAGTAGTTTTCTATTTCTAAAAAAAAGATAGATTGGTTTACAAAGAGGAGTAATATTACTCCAAGGGCACCATGAATGGATGGGTCAGCAAAACACTCTCCATTAAGGGATTAATTCAGTTCAGATTTCTTGCTGGTCAACCATTAACCTTGGCTAAAGCCAATGCTCTTTTGTCAAGAACATAATTCCTTGTGTGTCCACTTGGCCAATAAATAATTCTATTCTATTCTATTCTATTCTATTCTATTCTATTCTATTCTATTCTATTCTATTCTATTCTATTCTATTCTATTCTATTCCCTTATTCCATTCCATTCCATTCCATTCCATTCCATTCCATTCCATTATTCCATTCCTTATTCTATTCTATTCTATTCTATTCTATTCTATTCTATTCTATTCTATTCTATTCTATTCTATTCTATTCTACTCTACTACTCTACTCTACTCTACTCTACTCTACTCTACTCTACTCTACTCTATTCCCATCACAATGCTATCAGTCTGCTGAGCCACCAGGTTCAGGCTTTGTTTTTTCCTTTGAAGACGTTTCACTTCTCATCCAAGAAGCTTCCTTCTGTTCTGAACAAACGGTGAAGAATGGAAGGGTATACGCTCCTTGCAGTCATCTGGTCATTAGTACTTTCTGAGAATTGTTGAGGTCACTTGGAGTCCCAAAGGTGCTTTTTTCAAGAGTCAACTGGACTTTCTGGTTTTTTCTTTGAAGACGTTTCGCTTCCCATCCAAGAAGCTTCCCCAGCTCTGACTGGGATGGTGGAGGATGCAAGGATTTACCATCCAGTCAGAGCTGAAGAAGCTTCTGGGTTGAGAAGTGAAACAGCTTCAAAGAAAAAACAAAGAAAGTCCAGTTGCCTCTTGAAAAAACACCTTTGAGACAACCATGTCCTGGAGGACCAAGAATCTCCATAGAAGAGCTCACTTGGAGCTTTATCTGTGCCCTCGAGGTCTGAATTGTGCAAACGGATGTGGAGCCTTCTTGGAAATGTTGAAAGGATTGTGTTGTGGACAGGAGATCGGTGGTGTCATGTCCCTCCCTGCCCCTCTGTCATCGGAGGGCTGTTCAATTTTGACCTAGATGGCCTCTTTGACCCCTCTTTCAAACCAGCAGTCCTCTCTGTCCAGAATATGGACTCTGAGGCCACAGATAAACCTCCAAGTGGCCTCAACAACTCTCAGAAAGAGCACTAATGACCAGATGACTTCAAAGAATATAAAACCTTCCATTCCCCACCATTCAGCCAGAACCGAAGAAGCTTCTTGGAGGAGAAGCGAAACGTCTTCAAGGAGAAAACAGAGTCCAGTTGCCTTTTGAAAAAGCACCTTTGGGTCATTTTTAAGGGGGACTAAATATACCTCCTAGTTAAGTTGTGGAATAGAACAAATGGCGAGGGCGGTACAGGTAGTCCTCGATTTATGACCCACAATTGAGCCCAACATTTCTGTTGCTAAGCGAAACATTTGTTATGTGAGTTTTGCCTCAGATTATCACCTTTCTTGCCAAGTTAGCAACACGGTTGTGAAGTGAATCT